GAAGCACCAGCAACTGAAAAAGAATTGATCTGTTCAATGCAGTTAAATGCTTATCAGTATATCATCTAGTTAAAAACAATATCCCAGGCAGCAATTATGAAAGTCTCAAATAAATTCTAAAGAGCCCACACAATTCTTTAGGAGTCCCAAAAGGAGCAAGTAATCCTACACAAAATGCTAATATCAAGCTTCAACATCTCCAGGCATGACCGTCCATATAAAAATGTCACTTCCCTACTCCAAAGAGGTACTTCCAAAAAATGTCAACATTCCTAAGCCATAACTCAATCAGGCAGCCACTGATTGAACATATTAGTTGTTTTTTTACGGGGAGACAAACACGGCTCAGCTGCTGTGGTGGACTGAAGGCAGTTGTGTGCAGATACAGCCATGTGGCGCTGTCAGCCCCAGGGCAGGAGCAGGATGGGACGGTGCGGGAGTGCCATTACACCGAAGCGGGACTGAGTGACTCTGTTACCTTCGTCTGAGGCTTGGCTGGCGGAAGTCCCTTTTTTCCAGATGATCCGTTCTGTTTGGAAGCACTTTTTGGCTGGGCCTGGGCCTTCTCTGGACTCCCCTTTACATTCTAGGAAAACAAAAAGAACACGTGAGAGGGGAACAAGTAAGAGGTTTATTCCCTGCTGAAAAGAGAAGAAAGAAAACACAACGTTTCGCCCGTGGAGCCTTCTTCAGGTGTGAGCTATGTTAGCTATGTGAGAATGTACACCTACAGACTGTCCCCATTTCTAAAGCGACAACCATAACTGGGCCGCACGTGTGCTCTGGAAGGTACCTATCAAAAAAACGGAGCAAGCAGTGGGAAGAGTTATGATTGTAACAATTCAATTTAGACAGTGAAAAACTATGCCCAAACCCTTTCAGAAAACAAACAACATCCTTTGTTACAGACTGTTCACAATCCCTTTTAAGCCTCCAATCACCATACTAAGCAAAAACGCCTGCAGCCTAAAGGCGTCATCACAAACCACTGGGCTCCGATGTTGGCTGTCTGACATCTACATGTGGAACAATGGCAGAGCGGGGGTAAGAACAGAGAATAAATCAGCTCATGACAGAAACGTTCAGCTGTTATTTCTCCCCTAAGCAAGACTCAGCGGTAAAATGCAGGTATGCACGCTGGTTTGCTTTGATCTGGGGTTGGCATACGCTCAGGTTGGATCGCCTCTGTAAATCACAGACAAAAACACACGCACACGCACACGAGCACGGGTACACAAACACAGCCTCTGCCGCTCAACACAAGAGCCAGGTGCAGAGAGCAAGAGAGCAATGACAGGGAAGGAGAGAACAAAAGAACAATCACAAAGGAAGAGGAGCATTCTCGGTAACTGTCTCGCATTCTTCTTAAGAAGAGCGTGGACGAGATCTGAGTGTAGCTTTCTGGCACAGCACAAAGCTCATGAAATAGCAATCTTACTAGGAGATTATAGAGGAGAAATCTGATCATTATACTCAGGACCCTATGTTTTAGTTGTAGCGAAACCAGATGGAGCGCAAAGAGAAAAGATTAAAAAGTCAACATGCCCAGCTTTTTTGAGAGCACTTAAACTACAAAGTATGATGATGTAAACAAAAATATATTTTGTACATAATGGAAATCGGACTTTTATGAAGTCACAATATCAATAAAAGGTATTTTCTAAAAATTGGTAATGTGATGTTATGTAATTCTACAGAAACTACACTGCCCACAGTAACTGTGTGTTGGTGTTGAACAGGGTTTTCCGTGTAATAACAGCTGCAGACTCTAAAATCGAGGTGGAATCAGAGAACCTGATTTTGAAAAACC